AAGCCCTCATGAAGTTGGGGGTAGTATATTAGCATGGATAGAAGATTGCAAAACTAATAGAAAGCAGAGACTTGGGTAAGAGGGGCATTTTCAGTTTGGCAAGCTGTAACTAGGGGAGGGTCACAGGGATCAGTGCTAGGCCACAATTATTTACAGTATATTAATGACTTGGATGAGGGAAGTAAGGTGTACTATAGTCAGGTTTGAGGATGACACAAAAATAGGAGGAAAGTTAAAGGATGAGGATGACATGATCTGCAGAGGGATAAAGATTGGTTCTGTGAGCAGGCAAAAACTTGGCAGATGGGATATAATGTGGGGAAATGTGAGGTTATGCACATTGGCAGGAAGAATAGAGGAGCTGAATATTATTTAAAGAGAAAAAGAGTGAGGAAATGTGAACCTGGGGAGATGTGGGAATCCTCACGCATGAATCACAAAAAGCTAGCATACAAGTGGGAAATAGGAAAGACAAATGAAATATTGGCCTTTATTTCAAAGGGAATGGAGTATAAAAATAGGGATCTCTCACATAAACTATACAAGACATTAGTCAGACTAAGTGTTTTAAGGGAAAATATAGAGTTAATGGCAGGACTCCGAACAGTATTGATGTACAGAGGGATCTTGGGGTCCTAGTCCAAAGCTCCCTGAAAGTGGCCACACAAGTAGATAAGGTGTTAAAGAAGACATATGGCATGCTTGCCTTTATTGGTCAGGGCATTGAGTACAAGAGTGAGGATGTCATGTTTCAGCTTTATAAGACTTTGGTTTAACCACACTTGGAGCATTGCTTTCAATTCTGGTCACCACATTACAGGAAGGATGTGGAGGCTTTGGAGAGGGTGCAGAAGAGGTTTACCAGGATACTGCCTGGATTAGAGGGTATGAGCTATAAGGAGAGGCTGGACAACGTAGTGATATTTGCTCTGAAGTAACAGAATCTGAGGGGAGACCTGACAGAAGTTTATAAAATTATGAGAGGCATAGATAGGGCTGACAGTCAGTATTCTTTTCCCAGAGCTGAGATGTCTAAATCTGGGGACATACTTTTAAGGTGAGAGGGGGAAAGTTCAAAGGAAATGTGAGGAGCAGGTTTTTTACACAGAGAGTGGTCGGAGTCTGGAATGCGCTGCCAGGGGTGGTGGTGGAGGCAGATACAATAGGGGCATTTAAGGGGCTTTTAGATAAGCACATGAACATGCAAGGAATGGAGGGATATGGACCAAGGGCAGGCAGAAGGGATTAGTTTCATCTGGCATCATGTTTGGCACATCGTGGCCTGAAGGGCCTGTTCCTGTGCTGTACTGTTCCAAGTGCTATGTTCTTCGACCACACCTGGAATACTATGAACAGTTCTGGTCCCTTTATCTCAGGAAAAATATACTAGCATTGGAAACAGTCCAGAGAAAGCTCACTAGGCTTTAATCAGGTATGGATGCATTATCTTTTGAGGAAAGGTTGAATAGATTGGGCCGGTGCTCATTGGAGTTTAGAAGAATGAGAGGTGACTACATTGGAACATACAAGATTCTTAGGGAGATTGACAGGGTAGACAGAAAGAGGTCGTTGCCCCTTGTGGGAGAGTCAATGATCAGAGGGCACCATCTCAGAGGAAGGGGTCACCCATTTAAGTCAAAGATGAGGAGGATTTTTTTTCTCAGAGAATTGTGAATCTGTTGAACTCTTTTCCACAGAGGACTGTCAAGGCTAAGTCATTAAAAGCATATTCAAGGCTGAGGCGGACAGATTTTTAATCAGTAAAGGGAATCGAGGGTTATAGGGAAAGGGCAGGGAAGTAGAGCTGAGAATTATCAAATCAGCCACTATCTGATTGAATGGTGGAGCTGAATGGCCGACTCGATGGGCTGAATGGCCGACTCCTGCTCTCCCATCTCATTGTCAGAATGTGCTAAGAATCACACCAACGGCAAATTTAGAATTAACAGTCTGGGTGCAATGTGGCTGAGTTATACATGCCACAAGCTCATATATTCACATGCGTCCCTGTTGTTTGCAAATATAAAGAACATGAACATTTCCCGATGATAACAAGATCAAAAGCATTTACAGCTTGTGTCAGTTTTCTGGAATTCTCAAGTATTAAAGCCTTATTTCCCTTTACCCAAAGTTAGAAAGTCAGTCTAAGAAGCTGAAGAATTGAATAAGGTTGATTTTATTTTTGTTTAATAACAAGACTTAATTAAAGCATTTCAGTTAACTTACCTCAATTTAACTTACAGCAGAAGAAAAGTGAGTAGATAGTGGATCTTTTTTGTGAATCCGTAAATTCCATTAATGCTTGAAGAGAAATCCAAACACCTATAATTAACTGACAGCACCACATCAAGCTGTTCCATTTTAAACAAGAAACAAATTTTATTCCGTGTATTAAGAAATATAAACAAAGCAAGGGTTAGTAACTCAAGACTGTATTTTACATTACTTATGCTGCAAACACAGTTCTCATGTGTTCCGTTATATTTTACAAGGATCTTAAAGGTTCATTCACTTTCAAAGCTATGGAATCTCTGGAATTTATTTCGTTTCTCTTCAGGTTCCCAGTCTGAGTATTCTCACTGCTGATCTCTTCCACTAACTTTACAAAATAGACGTAACAATTTCAATCCCTCCTGAATTTGAAATTTTCATTCCAAGCATGGGCCACGTTACAAATTCAAGATGGCAGCAGACTAGCAGGGCTGCATGTGGGCTCTTAAGCCCAGGGCTCATCATCTCCCCTCTGCTTTCTTTTTTTCCTCCTTCCTTCTGCTCTTTTCCTTTTGTTTTCTTTCGTTTCTTCATTCGTTTCTCTTTTTCTCAAAGCCTTTTACAACAGTTTAATCGGCACCATCGGCATGGCAACAGGAGCGGGCTGTGTGCATGTAATGACCGCATCCTCCAGCAGAGGGCCTTTCAAGATGGCGGCACCAGCAAGTGGACCTCGCGGAGGGAGGGCGGCCGGAGTGGGACTCTTGGCGAGGCAGTGGAGGCCTGGCAATAGAGCCAGAGACTGTTGGTTGTGGGGCAACTGTGGGTTCAACACAGGTCCTGGCATCAGTGGCTGCTTCAGCAATGAGGTGGGCCCAGTGACGATCCAATGGCACCTAAAGAATAGGGAGTCCTACACTGGCTCTGGCATGGGCAGCGGTGAGGCAATGGAGGAGAGGTGGCAGCCCAGGTGGTGACCGAATGAAGATAGACTCTCTTTCAGTCATTTCGTTTTATTCTCTTTATTCTCAAATTATTCAAAATGGCACCAGATTGTGGTGACAGTTGAAGATTTTCATTGTATTTTACTGTATTATTCACTAAAAAAAAAACAAGATGCAAAAACTCATTCAATTCAACTCAAATGCTGACAATTCCAACTTTGTGACTCCAGAACAGGAACACTCCTGGCTGCTAATGGCTGCTATGCTCCTTGCTGCTACTACCAGCTGATATCCAACTACCTTCTCAAAATGCGGCTGACTCTGCTGGCAATTCTCTGTCCCTCTCTTTCTCTCCTCCACCCTCTCTCTCTCTCTCTTTCTCTTCCCCTCTCTCTCTCTCTTTTTCTACCTCCCTCTCTCTCTGTCCTTCTTTTTCTTCCCACACTGTCTCTCCCTCTCTTTCTCTCCCCCTCTTTCTCTCTATCTCCCTCTCTTTCTCTCCCTCTCTCTCTTTCTTTTCCCCTTTCTCCCTCTCTCTCTTTTTCTCCCTCCCTCTCTCTCTCCCTCTTTTTCTTCCCGCATGTTCTCTCCCTCCCTTTCTCTCCCCATCTCTCTCTCTCACCAAGACAACACGAGACCAAAACCGCAAATGCCACATGTGAGAAAAATCACAGATAAATTAAACGAAGGAACATTCTAACCTCCATTTATGAGTTGAGTATTGGA